CCTGTCGGCCGGCGAGCTGATAGAGCACGTCCGCTGAGCCCCGCCAGCTGCCGAGCGCTTGCAGCAGGCACGGCGACGCTATGGAACGCCTTGATAAAGCGGCGCTGAACGCGCTGCAGCCGCCTGAGTTCACCTAGCGCTGAGCGGGGCCCCAACCTGAGCTGGGCAAGAGGGAGGGCGGGAGCAGAACGGGGTGGGCGTGGCGTCTGGACCCCCGGGGCCAAGCTGTGGAATGGGGAAGAGAGGAAGCCGGTTGAGGCCTGCTGCGTCTGTAGGCCCAGACCTTAAGCTCAGGAATAAGGGATCTGGGGTCATGGGGGTGGGTCGGCGGGCCTTCAGCTCCTACCTCTATCCTAGCACTTCCTCTCGTCTGTAATCTCATTTCCCTAGTAGGGTGAGCTCCGGAGGACAGGAACACGACCTCCTTCCTTTTGGGTCCCCTATTGGGCCTACGTAGTCGCGTTTAATAAATGCTTGCTGTATAAATGAACTAATGGAAGAGAGTAGAGACTGACCCTGGCTTGAGGCTACTTAACGCTTGAGGCTACTTAACGTGATAGGAGGGTCCTGCCTAGTGGCTTAGCAGAAGAAATCTGATGGAAGAGCAGCTGGTTCTGGTCCACTTCTGTATGTAGCTATATTCATTGACATTACTGTGTGACAAGGCTCAGTGTAGGCGTATACATACAGGATCAGAGTTCTTAATTCACAGTTTAACTACTTAGTTGCCTGACCTGGGACAGGATAAAGTCAACTCAGGATAAGTGACTTACCCAAGATCACAGCATTAGATCACACAATTAGTAAGTGTTGAGGCTGGCATTTGACCCAGCCCATGGCCTCCAATGCTCTGCGGAGCCCTGTGATCTTTTTACTCTTCCACGATTCCAATGTGGATGTTGTTTGCTAAAAATACTATTCACTTATGAGAATACAAACAGATACGTTTATTAAATACGCTAAAATCCTCCTGGACTGATTTTAGTGTTTCCTGATAGAATTTGCATGGAATCTTGCAGTGAAAGAGTTCTGTTGAAAGTCTTACTTGCCACAAAAGGAATGTGGTAAACTCTTATCTGCTCAATGTTTGTTGTAGAAGTTTATATGAACTGGGGAAATGTCTAGGTGGTGTTAAGAGTGGGGACAGAATAAGGTTCATCCTGAACTTTGTCCTGTGTGTGAGGACAACTTAAGCTTTGGCCTTTTTCCTCATTTCACAAATCTTGGCTCATTAACATCCATTCTATATACACAGGAGAGATTAACTGACTGGCATCAGTCACTTTGTTTTGGAATAAATAATTTATTCTACTCAAGCTCTTTTGTGCCTGTAGAACTATCAACTGTAGTGGGCTGTGACTGCAGGAAAAAATGCCAAGGAAAAAATGTCCTATAAATGCTGGAATAAATTTGCTAGTTTTCAAAAGTTTGCTGAGACAGCAGGTAGTTTGGAGGTTAAAGTGGCTGGATCCCACATGGCTGACTGTGTGGTTCAAGTCCTGAACCTGGTGGCTTGAAAATCATGCTGAGTGAGTGAGCGTGTGTGCCCAGAATTCCGAGAGGAGAATGAAGGAAAAGGGATTGTGGCATGACCATTTCCCTGGGGGGTGATTTCTCACTCCCACACCCCCATCCTCATCTCTCTCTGGTGAGTTCCTATACCCTATAGCAAAAACTTAAAAAAAAAAAAAGTTTTTACACTAACCTTTGATTTTATACCTCATTCCATTTTATGGAGGTCTCAGCTCATAAAAAAATTTGTCAGATTTTTGAAGTTTAAGCTAAAGAGAGAAGTGAGAAGGAATTGAAAACAGGGTACAAATTCTTGAGGTATGCTGTGTGTAGCGAAATTAACACATAGAAAAGTTATGTTTGGGTAGGGATTGAGAGTGATTTCGTTTGCTTTCAAACATTTTCTATGATGTTATATAATCTTTTCAATAACAAAATTTTCAAGAAGTTGTGCCTGGGACCAGCAGTTAGCATAATGGCTATGTCGCTGGACTCCCATGTAGTCGACCACGGTTCGCATCCCAGACCTGGTGGCTTAAACTCAACGCCAGGCATGTGTGCGTGTGTGCGTGCCCAAGATCCTGAGAAGAGAATGGAGGAGAGGGGATTGTGGTGTGGCCCCCCCCCCCCAGGGGGTTATTTCTCACTTTCTGTCTCTCTGTCTTTCTGGCGAGTGCACACACCCTATAGCAAAAAAAAACTCTTCAAAAAAAAAAAAAGATGTTTTGCCTGATATTTGATATTCAGGAGAGATGATCTAAAGTAGAAAATATTCAGTTAACTCTCCCTTTCTCTGGATCTTAGAAGTTTTATTTCTTTATTAAGATATAATTTAAAAATTGTATCCTAAAACATACTTAACTCACTGTAGAAAGACCAAAGTTCAATTACTTTTTTAGGATCGACAAAAGAATTGGCCAAATAATGACTGTTTATGTGTTTTTTTTTTATAGACCTGCTGTTACACTCATATACTTCATGAAGATAACACAATAAGTTCTAATAAAATTTACTAGGAAACAATTTAAGGAAGTTTATGTGTATTGGAAGAAGGTGGTACAGCTCACTAATAACTAAAGTGAGGAATGTTAAAAGATGCTAAATAATACTAGAACTTTTTTATAGCAATAAGCATTTGTCATTCACACATGTGAAGGGTATGTAAGTAAGAAAAAGAACCATGAGTCCACCTGTGGTTGTGCAGGTAGTAGGTTACCATTGCATAAAGTGGAAACCATATGGGAAGGTCTAGGGTTTGGTTCCTGTGTAGACCCAAGATCCTGGCTGGGTAGTGGCATGATAAGACCCTGTCAGGAGTGCCTCTCTTTTTCTTTCCCACTCTCATGAAGGAAGGATATAAACTTAGAAAGGAAACACATGTGGTTAGAGCTAATACATTACATGTTCTACCCGACTTTTTTTTGTGCGCATGGATCTTATTTTAAAAAATGTATTTCAGGCCAGCTGGTGGCATGGTGGTTAAGGTGGCTGGATCTTGCATGGCCAGCTGTATAGTTCAAGTCCTGGACCTGATGGCTTGAAAAACACATGGGGCATATGTGTCTGTGTGCCCAGTATCCCGAAAGGAGGGTGAATGGAGGAGAAGGGTTTGAGGCATGACCACATCCCATTGGGGTGTACTTTTTCTCTCTCTCCATCTCTGTCCAGTGAGCACATGTGCCCTTTAGCAAATTTATTTATTTTACTACATATATTTGAAGTTTACAACATAATGTTATGGAGATAAATAAGTAAAATGATTACTATAATAAAGCAGATTTTTAAAAAATTTATATAGGGAACCAGCAGTTAGCGTAATGGCTATGTCTCTGGACTCCCACGTAGTAGACTGCTGTTTGGGTCCCGGACCCAGTGGCTTAAAACTCACGCTGGGCACGTGTGCGTGCGTGCCCAAGATCCGAGAGGAGAATGGAGGAGAAGGGATTGTGGTCTGACCATACCCCTGGGGAGTGATTTCTCACTTTCTGTCTCTATGTCTCTCTCTGTCTGTCTGGTGAGCGCATGTGCCCTATAGCAAAAACCTCTCCAAAAAAATTTATATATATAATAATATATATGAAATTACTTGTATATGTGACAGTGAGGAATTTTACAAATGTAATGGAAAGCTAAAGAGACCAAACGCAAAAAACTACATACTATACAATTACATTTACATAAAGTTTAAGAAAATGAAATTACAGAGATAGAATCCAGTATAGTTGTTTTCTCTGGAGAAAGATATATATATATATACACACACACACACACTTAATCACTATATATCACTTTGCTTATAAGTTGAATTTACCCTACATGAATATGCTTCACACCAGTCCAGTTGAGGATACAAGCAGATTAACATATCATCTCACATAGTTACTTTTCTTCCTGTGGGAGAGAGAAGAAATCTACTTACCTAACAAAAATACAATTTTATTAGCTTTTATCCTCATGTTGTATATTATTAGATCATTAGATCTGTCCATCCAACACATTTGTTTTATACACTATGTCTCCCCATTTCCTCTTGTGTCGCCCATATTAGACACTGTTTTATTCTTTATCTCTGTATATTTGATCTTTTAATTATCAGAGGGCATGTACTATTGCTAAGAGAAAGCACCCCTTAAAGGGGCATTGTTACTTTGCAATCCTTTTTCCTCTGTTTCTCCATCCTGTCACGATTTTGAGCATGCATGTATATGTGCCTGGCATGTTTTCAAGATTCTGGGGCTGGGATTTGATCTGTGGTTGGCTATGTGGGATCTGCCTCCCCTTAACCACTGTGCTATAGGGCTGGCCCTGATATTTTTATTTATTTTTAAGATATCACATGCAAGTGAGATCATGCAATATTTGTCCTTCTATGTCTACATTATTTTACTTACTGTACTGCCCTCCAGGTCTCTCTGCGTTGAACTGAATAATGTCCATTGTGTGTGTATGAATGTGCAGATGGGTGTGAGTGTATCACATTTTTTTGTCTATATGCCTACAAACCCTGAAGTTGTTTCATATCTCAGCTATTATGAATTATGCTGCAGTGAACATGGGAGTGTAGCTATCTTTATGAGGTTTTGATTTCATTTTCTTTGGGTGTGTACCTAGAGGAGAAATTGCTACATCATACTGTAGTTCTGCTTTTAATTTCTTTAGGAACTGTTTTCAGTAATGGCTGTACCAATCTACATTCCCACCAATGGTTTAGTACAGTTCTTTTTCCTTTACATCCTGGTCAACATTTGTTATGTCTTGTCTTTTTGATACCATTCTAACAGGTATGAGATGATATCTCGTGGTAGTTTTCATTTGAATTTTCCTGATAATTAGTGACATTAAACATCTTTTCACATATTTGTTGGCCATTTTTCTATCTGCCATTTTTCTAAAAATGGTGCTATTCCCATTTTTAAATTGGATTGTTTTTCTGCTATTGAGTTATATTGAGCTGTAAAGATTCTTTTGGGTGTTTACCCTTTATCAGATATGTGGTTTGTGAATATTTTTTCTCTAGTCTGTATGTTGCCTTTTCATTATGTTGTTTCCTATGTTCTGCAGAAACCTTTTAGTTTGATATAGTCCCTGTATTTTTCCTTTTGCAGCCTAGCTTTTGGT